CCCCCAGCCCCAGCCCCAGCCCCAACCTCCTTGCCTCACCAGCCCCAGCCTCACCTCGCCAAAGAGGCACATGGCAAGGAGCCCCTCTGCCCCAACCCCTGCCCTCGCCTCGCCCCATTTACATTTATTGCATGGGTCACCAGCAAATTGCACGCTATATGCAAAGTGTAGCAAAGGGTCAAGGGTCCCCACTACATTTATTGCATGGGCGATCAGCAAATTATGTTATATATGCAAGGTATAGCAAGAGACCAGAGACCCCCTTTACATTTATTGTGCAGGTCACCAGCAAATTGTGTGGTAAGGGACCAGGCTGACTCTCTTACATTGACTGCGTGGGTCACCAACGAACTGCACAATATACACAAGGCATGCCAAAGCGGGCAGGGTCCCCTTTACATTTATTGCGCGGGACCCGCCGCTGGGCCAGGGAGTCAGAAACCAGGCACGGGAAAGCGCCAGGCAGGAACGCGCAACCGTCCCACGGTACCCTGCTAGGCGGTGCGGTGCAGTCCGGTCGGGGAGGAAGCAGAGTACGCCTGCGCACTGGCTGCCAAGTGCGGGGAGCAGGGCCTGCCCCGCCCTTTGGTCTGACGTCAGCGGCGCTGCCAGAGGCTAGCTCTGGTAGTCGTGGTGGAACTCCCCGCGTTACGTAATCGCGCGGGAAGCGCGGGGCGGGGCGGGTGGAGAGGGGTCGCGCTGGAGTCGCTGGGCCGGGGGTGCTTGCGCCCCGCAGAGCCGCCATGATGCAGCCTCGGGCCCGCGGCCCACTGCTGTTCCTGCTCCTGCTCGTCGCACTGCTGCTGCGCCCAGGCCTGGCAGGCTCCGGCTCCGCGGGGCGCCCGCCCACAGGTACCGGGGAGCAGCCAAGGGCGTGCGCGGGCCTGAGCGTCCCCGGCGGGTCGTGCTGAGGGGGAAGCAGCTGCTGCCGCCAAGGGAGTGAAGGGTGGGAGGGGAGAGGCCGGGCCCTGAGGAGAGGGAAAAACGGAGCCGCGACGGGAGCGGAAAACAAAGAGGGGGGAGAGAGGAAGAAGAGGCGGCCCAGGAGAGAGGGGAGGTCTGCAGGCCTGTTTCCTGGAAGCTGCCTTTCTGCCTTGAGGGAGCGGATAAGCAGGGAGGAAGGATGGCAAGAAAAGGCCGTGCTCCTCGGGCATGCTTTAATGTGTGTTTGTGTATTGTAATGCACATTACAGCGTTTCTGAAACTGTTCCATAAAAGAGGTGAATGCACATTAAGCAGACTCGATTAGTTGAGTTTGTTGCAGCAGGGAAATCAAGGCGCTGTGGCAGCTGTCCGCGTCGCATGTATCAGCATCGCCATGCTGAAAAAATGATAGTGGGGCGCTTTGAAATAAAACCAGTTTGATGAGCTTTAGTTCAAGGTGCCCCACTGCCATTTTTTCAGCATGGGGACACTGATACACGTCACATGCGGGCGCTTTTAATTAGCTCTTGATGCCCCTGACCCACGCATAGATTTGCCAACCAAGGTGCGTGCGTACATGGCCGTGCACAGTTTAAAATCTTGCCTTGCACTAACTTATTAATGCCGTGCACCTGCCCAGAGGGGAGCTGGGTTGTGGCTTCCTGGAGAGGAGCTGGGCACCGTCTTTCCTGCCCAAGTGCAGTGGGGCTGGACCTGATGATCTGTAAGGTCCTTTCCAGCCCCTAACAACTATGAAGCTAATTAAACTACCTGGCACCATGTCCCCACACCACATATAAAAATGCCCCATGCTATTTAGTAAATATTCATTAAGACAGGCTAATACTCATTTTCTTAGTACCTCACAATAGAAGTACTAGATCTAATGCATGTGAGCTAAAGTGTGTCAGTGCACATGTAGATGCACCCTTAAATGCTGATGGAAAAAGGTTTGACCCACCTGCAGCTCGTGGGCCTGTTCTTGCCAAGGAAACCAGCCAGGGTAAAACAGAAAGAAAAAAAAAAAAGCTGTGTTGCTGGTAACATTGGAAGAGGGCAGGAGAGCAGCCTGGATGGGACCAAGCAGTAGTCACAAAGCAGAGAAGAATTGGAATAAGCAGGAGTGGGGGATTTATTTACTCCCAGGGTCACTGTTTGATTCCAGCAAAAGGGGACTTACTGTACTCCATATAGGTAGTGTTGTTTCAAAGGACTTTGTAGCCACGCTGGAATAAGCCATCAAACCTCACATTTTTAGCTAATAGTTTTGCTTTAAAAAAAAAGCCTATTTATTAAGAATTTAAAAATTCAGTTGTAGAAAATTAAAATGCCAGTAGAGCTGGTATGATAATTGTAAATTACGAATTGAACTAGCCAAGATGAACTTGAGCTTACGTTTAAAAGTGCAGGTAGAATTAGCTGTATTGCTATTGCTGTCATGAAGCATAAGGTAAACATTGGAGTTTATTTTTTTAAAAATCGTGACCAAGTTTAGGAGAATAACAAACCTCATGCCCAGCCTGCTTTATGCCAGCTGAAGCCAAACTTTGAAATCAGAGAGTGGGGGAATGCTAGTTGTTGAGTACACATGTGAAAGTACTAAAATACCTAGTTATGAGCACCATAGAACAACCAGTAAAGACTAATGAAGAGTAAGATTTGATTTGTGCAGTAAATAAGGTGTGGGCATGTGCCTTGATGATCATTAAAAATATTGAATACAGTTTAAGTGAACATAATTCTGTTGTGCAGCATAAAGCAAAAATCTTGTAGGGGAAAAATGTTACTGAGTGATACCTAACATTTGACACCTTCTCTGATAAGTTGACACTTTTTCTCTTGTGGTTGAAAATTTGCAGACCTCTTTCTCTTTTCCAATAATTGTAGTGCTGACTTTATGCATGTTAGAAAATAAGTAAACCACAGCAACATTTTCAAAGCTTCATGTATCTTCGCGGTTAATAGGTGAATCTTAACCTTATGTATGCAATAGTCTGGAAAGTGTATGTGGTCTCATTCTGAAGACAAAATGCCCTTCATTTTCCTTCACTAACATAGCACAAAACAAAATGGACACTTTGTGGCCTACTTATGGCTCATTTAAGTCTTTCAGAGGACTTATGTGGCAGCCACATACATTAAAATTGGAACGATACAGAGAAGATTAGCGTGGCCCCTGTGCAGGGATGATGCAAATTTGTGAAGTGTTCCATATTTTTTTTAAAAAGTCTTTCTCCTGTCTATTTTTGGGGGGGAGGAGGGCAGGGGAAAAGAAGCAAACCCTCAAATCTGTCCTCTTCCAGATTGCATAGTTAATGTTTTTAATATAGCTTTTGTAAGTATGTTTGATATGTACAAAGTCAAATGATTGAAACCTAGGAAATGCAAAATAAAATGAACTAAACAACCTTAATTTGACCTTTTTTATATTTTTGTACCATAATGGCCTTTGGTATGCTCATGTGGTGTTTCTTCCTGTGCACGCATCGGTAACACTCATCGTGTAAGGAAGCTGTTCAGCACTTTGTGTAACCATGTCCTTTTTGCTGGATGGCATCTAAATGCTTTGCTGAATACAGCTTTACTAGTTTTATTCATGGTCCTTCCATGGCAATATGACACAACTTGATGTATCCAGACACTTATTGCAAACTTGTATTCACAATTCTTGTAAGAATAAGGATAAGTCTCATTGGTTTAGAGTTGGGGAGCTTTAGTTGTAATTTGTGAAGTGTCTTATTTATGTATGCTTTAGTGACTGGATAACCAATTGGAGAAATAGCTTTCTTGTGAAAGTAACCAAGTGTTTTATAATATCAACTTGTAAGTTAAAAGTAGTACACAGACACGTCCTGACTAAATTCGTAGGAGAGAAATCCATAAATGCTAGCTTTATTTTAGGCAGACAAGGTTCTTTGAGTGAATGTGATATTTTTTATTAGATCAACTCGGACTTTGGGAAAAAGGCATCATCCCAGTTTTCTTGGTTGACTGGTGTCCTTTTAATTTTGACAATCCACTATCCCATCCTCACTGTCTCTGTACCGTTCATTTTGACAGCAAATGAGGCAGGAATCCTGAAAACATCTTCATTTCCTACCCAACCCTGACTCCTTGATCAGGAGTTCTGGATTCAGAGTACAGACTTCTGCCCCTTGAAGTTAAGAAGAAACTGGTGTCAGTAATATACTGATATTCTGTATATGAATCAGCTGCTAGAGGAATGTGTAACCGGTTTTGATAGATTCACACTTAACTACTTGCTGAATTACAGAAGAATTACAGAGGCAAGGTAGTGGGATAGAAGTGACAGAATCAGAGGCATATCTGGACACATCTGCACCTTGGGAAGTGTCAGTGGCTGAGCCAGCAATGAAGTGGCTTAGGATTTAGAAAATTCTGCTATTTTTTTACCCTCCCCTACTCGGTCTGGGCACCCAGGAGTGGTGCTGTAGTAGTCCTCTGTTAGCCATGCTACTGGAGTCATCCTGGATTTTACTTCTGACTGTGGAGGGGGTTTGGTTTACTGTTAGAAAATGAAACCAAAGCATGTTCATTTGGCCTTTTTATTCTTTTTCTTGCCATTCAAAACTGACCATGGCATGTGATATGTTGAAGCAGTCTCAGAGGTTTAAGAGTTTAGGTGTCCAGGCAGTCCAAAAAGAAATTTGGATGTCTTGCTGACCTCCATTTTCCATGGTTCAGAAAATAAGTGGCAAGTTGTATAGGTTAGACTAGTGGCTTCAGGTGGAGAGCAATCACCCCTTCTTTGACCTTGGTTCAGTCAGAAACAATCTTAGGTCAGATCTGCAGTATGAACCACTTGGATTTCACAGGGCATCTGGGATGTTTAGAAATCTGAAAATCAAGCTAGTTTTTGGTGAACATCACTTAAAAATCCAGCAGTCTGGGAAAGTAGGGCAGCCATCATCAGCTTTAAAACTTAAGTTTTTATTATTGATATGATAATTTTCTAAATCCTAACCATGTGGGAAACAATATAACTGTACTCTGGGCTTATCTATGGGCATTGCATCACTCCATTTAAAACCTTTTTTTTAAGCACATTAGACCTAGGCTGAATAGCCTTTCTAGCTTTTAAAAGATAGAATTCTTTTATACGTAAAGGATTCAGACCTGATCAAAAGTGAACCTCTTCCTGTATATTTACAGATAGCAGTTGCTTTTAAAATATTTTAGACTACCACCACAACATTGCAGTGGTTTAAAGGCATTAATACAAAAAAATAGCACCTTTAGATAAACTAATCTGTTTAGACCAGACCTTAAAAGGTTCTAAAATCTTAAGATTAGCAGATGTGACCAGGTGTATAGCAATTATGCTATTTCTACTTAGTTTTCAAAACCTGTGGCAGAATGTGATCATCATCTACAAGCTTGTCAGTCAGGCGATGCCATTCACTGCTGGATTAAAAGAATTCACAATAGTTGTAGCAGAAGAAACTTGTGAGACTTCACTATATTTGTACAGGCAAAATTTTTTGGGATTTATCTCATTTCTGCTGTAGATAAGACGAACCAAAAAATAGATTACTTTATAAATCCATAAGGAATGATATTTTGCCAGTTTTCATACTTGGTTACAATTGCATATCAAAATATCAATTGTGGTGTTTGCTTTCTTTTATTAGTGTCTCCACCAACAAATGTTGAAATTGAATCCTTCAACTTCAAGACTGTATTGCACTGGGATTACTCAAGCATGGTTCCAAATGCTCGTTTTACTGTTGAAATCAAGCCCTATGAGTAAGTTTCTGTGCTTCCTGTAGCTTTTTCTGTAGGTGGCATGTGTGGTAATACTCCAGGATAAATATTTTTATTTCCATGTAACAAAATTGTGTGATCCATATGGAGCTCAGTGGAAATTGACATTTTTTATGTTGTTTTCTCTCCCACATGATATAATATTCTGTCCACAAAAGTTATAGTTGCTTTTCATCTGTTTTACAGATTAGGGTATTATGCGCAAATCAGCAGCTGCGTGAACATTTCGCGTCGTCATTGTGACCTTTCTGACAACATAACCGATCCATTGCTTTCTCACTGGGCTAAAGTTAAAGCTCATGTTGGTTCAGAAGAATCCAGTTATGTTGAATCTAAAGAATTTATTCTGGCTAACCAGGGTAAGTGGTATTGTAAACCAAAATTATAAATGTAGATAAGTGATTTGAGATTGTTTTCACATGACATTTGTGGTATTTCTGCTAAATCTAAAAAACGAGAAATATTTTTTCTGTGAAACTGTTTGCTTGAGAATTTAAAAATACTAACTTAAGGAGTCAGGTTAAAAGGTGTGTATGGCCAGTGACAGGCTGCAAACAAAGCAGCTTGATGCAGCCAGTCATTGTCCATTGGAAGCCCATGAATTTGAGTCTGACTATAGTTTCTAGTCTGTAGAGCAAGGGTTGGCAATTATTTTGGCTAGAGGGCTGCTTAGGGAGTTTCAGTGAGGTGTCACGGGCTGGGTCAGCACCCTCCCCCTGCCCCTGCAACAGCTTACCAAAACTCCCTAAGTGGCCCCTGCACGGGCCAGGCAGTTGGGATGGGGCCACAGGTAGATGAGGAACAGCACACAGGAGCAGGACAGGCAGGCAGGGCTAGAACCAGGGCTGGGATTGGGATCGTGAAGCAGTAATAGCACAGGGCCTGAGGCAGAGCCTCAATCTGCTTCTCGCACATCTCTGCAATACGTGCCGGTTCTGCAGGTAGGGGCATACAGGCTGTGACCCGGGCCTGTGCCTGTGGCCCTGTGCTGTTCCCACCCAGTGATCCCAAGGTCTCCATTGAGAGCAACTGGGACCCATGAGGGCAGGATGCGCAGCTAGGCAAACAGGATGGGACAGGTGGGCAGAGAGCTGCATCTGGGAGTGGGATGGGTAAAGCTGGGGATCAAGATTGTAGGGCAGTGCCAGCATGGGGCTGAGGCCCAGGGAAGAGTCACGATCTGCTCTCCTCATGCCCCTGCCCACGGAATTGGGGCAGCACAGACATTCAGGCAGCTGATCATGGCTCTCCCCCGGCCCCGCCCTATCGCCACCCTTCAGTTCCAATCCTCGGCCTTGCCTGCCCACCCCACTCTTGGACACAGCTCCCAGGCCTCCCATGGCCACAGCTTGCCTATCTGGCCACACACCCTGTCCACATGGGTCCCACCCTCGGTGATGAATGCAGGGTGGACAGGCTGGGGTGCTCATGCAGTGCAGCAGGCAAACTAAGCTATGCATAGACTCTTAGTATAACTTTAGGCCTTCTTGGAACTAAGCAATTAAATTGTACAGAATGCCTTGTAAGGGACTGGGAAAAATGAGTGCTGGTTAACCAGAGACAGTAGTTTCCATAGAAGGCAAGGAAACAAAACCAGAATAGAATTGGAGTACCTTATCTAAAAAAGATGAGATAAGAAACTTGAGTATTGGACAGTTTGAGATGAGAAAATTACAAAAGTAGTGGACAGAGACGGTGTGTATTCTGTGTTGCCACCCTGGGGAGATGGGAGCAACCTTGGAATTCTTGCTTTGAGTAACAAGGAATCCAGAAACTAACATCCCACACACCTATCAGAGGATCTGAGGCTGGTACCACCTAAGGTCGCTGTTGTAACATCTGAAAGAACCGCTTGCCAGGTAGAATTACAAGGATAATAAGCTTATAATAAGCCGAGGAGTTACTAATATAGTTCACTTGATACCAAATCAGACAAAAGGCTGTGTCAGTCCTTGGGGGTCTCCGGTAAAAGGAATCCTGGGGCAACAGGCAGCAGGGCCGGGTCTGGCAGAGCCAACACTGGGGCTGCCAGAAAATGGAGTCCAGCTGCTGCTCTGCTCCAGCCATGCTGTGCACTTGAGGACGGCGGACCAGCCACACGTGCCATGGTGACCCACTCACCCCTCGCACCTGTGGTCAAGGGTCCTGCTGTGGGCTGGACAAAATGCCTTGGTGGGCTGGATCTTGCCTGCAGGCCATATTTTGCCCAACCCAGTAACAGAAGCCTTGCTGCTTAGGGTTGAAGGCCTGAACACCAAAGCCTAATTACATATCATTGTTGTCTCAGGCAGAAGGCTTTGAAAGCCTTAAGTGAAGAGCAGCAATATGACAAGATCATGAAGATCAACAGATAACTCAAGAATTGGTGCTATAAAAATCAGGGATCAGCATCTTTATGGTCCACGAGCCAGATGTGGCCTGTAAAGCAATCTCTTTTGAATGCCTGGAGAAATAGCATTTTTGGATTGAGGCTGGCAGAAGAAGAAAGAGAGAATGAAGGGAGACTGTTCAGAGGAACTTGTAATTTCCATGCCTGGTTGACCACTGAGGATGGAAAGTCAGATAAATGTGGGTTTGGCGATGGCTAAAGAAATATCGGTGAGCCGAATGATGGACAGCAAGGAGAAAATGCTAAAGCTGATGAGAATGTTGATGGACTCATGGCTAAGGATGGGGCTTGATCTAAGGGAATGCTTTGTAGGAAAAAATTGAAACATTTGTATACCAATGACTGGAGTTCAAGCAACAAAATCTGAATTATTGGCGTGAATATGAAAATTGGTTAAACTTGGATCTAGTGATCACAAGGAAACTGCACTTTAAATAGAAGAAAAAATAATAGGTCTGTAGGCTTTAAATTTCAAAGAGCAAACCTTTATAAATTAATACAACTATGTACTAAGATGAGCTGGATTGAGGCACTCACAAACAGAGACTTGAATGCAGAGGTCTAGAAATTTCAGCATTTTTGACAGGAAGAAAAATCCGGGATCTGTTTAAGGGAAGGGACTTGAGACCAACTGGAGAATAAACATTTCAATAAATGTAGAATCAATGAGCAAAAAGCCTACAATGAATGGAAAAAGGACCGTTATCTGGAAGTATCAGGACTTCAATGTACTTATATTGTAAAATAATTCCAGCTATACTGTGTACCTAATGTTAAATGCTTTGGACTTCTTCAGCATGAATAGTACTGATGAGATTTAAACTGATGTGGAAAAGTGCCTCTGGCTTTATTTAAATTCCTTTTAACATCTATTAAGGTAACATAATTATAGCTGTATTCCTGTGTCTAGCATTACAGTGTTTTGTTTTTTTTTCATGACTAGGAATAAACCCAACTTTTCTGGCCTGTCATTCTTTTAATTTCTGATGTGATTTGTTATTTTTAACTTGTGACCTTTGTTTTACTGTGGTATTGGCTTAGTCTGTGCATAATACTAAATGACCTCATCATTTAGTAGGGCTGTGTTTCATGCTGTACCTGGCACTCTGTTTATCTTATTTACAGTAGCAGTTAAAAAAAGTCAATTTTAATAGTTTCATAGTTTCTAGGGTCGGAAGGGACCTGAGCAGATCTTCTAGTCCGACCCCCTGCCATGGCAGGAAGGGCACTGGGGTCAAATGACCCCAATAAGGTGGTCATCCAACCTCCTCTTAAAAACCCCCAGGGTGGGAGCCTGCACCACCTCACTTGGAAGCTGGTTCCAGACCCTAGCCGCCCTGACCGTGAAGTAGCGCCTCCTGATGTCCAACTTAAACCTTCCCTCCGCCAGCTTGTGACCATTGTTCCTGGTCACTCCTTGCGGCGCTCGGGGGAACAGGGACTCCCCCAGCGCCTGCTGATCCCCCCTAACCAGTTTATAACAGGCCACAAGATCCCCCCTCAGCCTTCTCTTTTGAAGGCTGAACAGGTTCAGGTCCCGCAACCTTTCCTCATAGGACCTACCCTGCTGTCCCTTGATCATACGAGTGGCCCTCGTAAGGTTTCATCAAAGTGGTAAAATAGCATTGGTTTAATTTTAGTTGCTTTTAAACTAATACAAATCCACATGTAGATATTTGTTTTGATTTAAAAGTGATTTTATTGCATACTAGTTTACACCTAATAATGTGAGCTCAAATGGAAAAAGCCACTAGTAAATCATAAAGATATCTAAACTCATAGACAGGGCCTAATTTTGTCCTGCTCTATATACAGTTTTAAGTCTGTGCATTTAACGTTTAATCATTTAGGCTGTTTTACCATTTTTCAACCCTTGTTTTTGGCTTTAAGTTGCTCAGCAGACCTTTCTGCCTTGTTTTCTCATTGTTGTTGGCCAATCTTTCTAGATTTTTCATATCCAGAAACCTAGAATCCAGTGCTTAGAAAACTTTTTCCCTCAGCATGACCCAATTTATGATTCCATTTCCTCAGCATGGCCCCTCACTCCCAGCTCTCAGCCCCCCAGAATCCCAGGTGCCCCTCACTCCCCACCTACAGTCCCGTGGCCCTGGGGGTGCTCCTCACTCCCAGGGCCCAGGCCCTCAGCCCCCCCCCCCACCCCAACAGTGGCTGAGCCCCAGCTGCCACCCACATGAAGCAGCAGCTGCTGAGGCCAGAGCACCAAGCCCAGCTCCCTGTCTTGCCATGCCCTGTCATCTCCCCTGTGGGCAGCAGTTGAAGCAGAGCCTGTGGTGGGTGGGTGGGGGAGGATGCAGGTTGCCTGCTGCAAGCTTGGGGCTCCCCACCCTGTTGCCCTTCCCCCGGGCCTCTGCAGCCCAGTGGGCAAGACCTGGTATGGGAGAGACCACGTGCCATGACCTCACTCGCTGACATTGCGACTCCATTTGCTGTCACAACCCACAATTTGTCAACTGCTAGTATATCCCATTCTTGATATTACTGCTGTTACATTAACAAGATTCATCCCACACCTCCTTTCTTCAATATTCTTGTTATTGGATTGCTTCTTAAAATTCTGGCATGTCTTTTGAAAGTTTTTCAAAACTTATCCTGTACGCAAGTTTTGTTTTTGTTTTTTTTCAAATCTCATTCTGTATCAAAATTTTCAGACTAATAAGAGGCACAATTGTGTTTCAGGCAAAATAGGTACACCTACACTGACTGTTTTAACTCAAGGCAATAAACTGAAGGTTGATATCTTCCACCCTGCCTGTCTACCTGAGAATCTTCTTGAGTCTTGTGATGAAGTTGAATATCTAGTGTATTTTCAGGACCATGAAAATCAGGTACTTTTTAGATTATATATTTGAAAAAGGCAGTACACTTTATACAGGAGATCTGTTAACAAATAATCTTTATTTGTATTTTAACTTTAAATTATATCTACCACAATTGAGCTTTGATTTTGAGAAATTATTAAGAATTACATTTGAAAACTGAATCCATGATATTTTAATGTAGAGGCCTAATCCATTCTCTGTGAATGTTCATGGCATGCAATCCATTTATTTCTGCAGAAGCTTTTTTTGTGTGTCCCCATTTAGTCACCTAATCCATCAAGGTTTTCACTTAGTATTCCTTGTTATGTTGAGTACCATGGTTGAAATAGTGGGAATACTTCTATCCTCCTTATTCAGTAACATAGTTCATTGTTCTGTCCATTGTACTTCATTTACATTTTTCAAGTATTGCTTTCAAGTTTTTAAAATTTTTAAAACACCCCCCAAAATGTGTTTTCTTGCAGACTGAAAAACTTAAGACAGACTTGGAATCATGTGAGGAGCATAAATGCAGTATAAGCCTTCCAGTTGCCTCTGAAGGTTTAACCTACTGTGTCTCAGCTGAAGTTTATTCATGGTGTGAAATGCGTGGCGACCAGTCAAATGAAACTTGTCTTCATGTTCCTTTGAAATGGCAACTAGGTAAAAAAAAAAAAAAAATTTTAATAACCTGATCCACTATGTCCAAAAAAGTTGATGCAGTGGATGTTGTAACATTGTATAACATTTGTGACCAGCTTTGTGGTTTTCTACTTGATTGGTACCATAATGTTTTGGTTGTGTTGGATAATTTAACAAATAACAAAGGTATCATTAGGCAAGTTCTATAGTTCCAGAGGCTTCATACCCATCTTCCTACAAGTGATTTATTTGACCAGGTAAAACATGCAGAGTTGAGGAATAATAAACATGAAAAATTAGAGCAAGCATATGAATTTTCTTCTGAATTTGCTTGGGCCTGAGACAAATGAGTGACCTTCTTGCTGCATGTTAAATATAATATTGTGGCAGGGCACTGGGCATGTTTACCACTTTAAAAGAGCCAGGCTTACTGCAAAGCCCCAACAGGTGAGGCCAATCCAGCTAAGGAATCAGCAGACTCCGAGGCTGACAGCTGGGGTGGATTAGGAGAGGCCTCTCGTGACTGATGAGGGGGTGGCTTACTGGCAGGAGCCTCGGCTAAGACGGAGCATGAGTCCAGGCTGGGAGGATGGCTGCAACACCAGAGGAGCTGAGGGAGCATCACTCACCAGGAAGAAGACACCAGCTCCTGAGGATAGGGTAGGAACTATTAGGGAGGTAGAGGTTCCTAGGGACCCAGATTGGGGTCCATATCCTTGCAAGGGGCTGAGTGGTGCCTGTGAGAAGAGCTAGGCCAGTCCAGAGGGAAAGAAGGCTGCATACCTAGAGCCCCAGGAGAAGGCAGCCCTGCCCTGGGAGAGAGGGGCAGAGGTAACTAGGGCCTAGAAAGAGGCTAGGCCTGCTCAGTGAAAAGCCATAGGCTGGGAGAGGGGAAGAACCAGATCAGCCCAGAGAGCAGGACAAAGTCATCAGGCCACAGAGGTTAACTAAGTGGGACAACAGAGCTAAGGCCAGAGCATGTGAGATCGGGTACAAGGCCAGAGCATACCCGAACAGCAGGGGTGGATATGATCCAGAAAAAGAGGTACCTGAAGGGGGCCCAGGGTGGGAGAGGGCTAATGGCCAATCTTACTGGTGTTGAGGACTTTGACTGGCCAGGGCCTGGGCCCATGGGGGCCTAAAGGGTGAAATAGACTACTGCAGAGGCAGCCAGAGCTGCGGAGAGCCTGACACCTCACCTGGCCTGGTAATGGGGCCAGGGCCTCAGGGAGGCAGAAAGTCCCGATGGAGTGGGACCACTACAGAGAAGTAGGGACCAGGGCCATCGTAGCTTGTGGCAGTCATCCAAGGAGTATTGGTAGTGGATTGGGTCTGCATAAGGGTTGGGGCCAGGAGAACTGTGACATGGAGTCAGGGCCAGAGGGCCTGATAACACCAGCCCAGGAAAGGGCCATAAGGAAAGATACTAAGATCAGATAGGCCTGATGATGGCCTTGGGTAAGACCAAAAGCTGCACCCTGCTGGGGTTGGTTGATGTCGTGGGACTGCCTCTTGCAGGGCAGCCCCCAGTAAATGCCATGCCTATGTCACTCCAGTGAAAGGTGAGGGTGGGGTGCCAGAAAACCTCAGCCCCCACTGCCTTGTGGGGTGCCAGAAAACCACAGCCCCCATGGAAAGGGAAGGCTAAGGGAGCTCAGCCTAACAGAAAAGTGAGGGGCAGGAAGGAAGAGCATCTGAGCCATGGGGTCCAGCTGCCCTGGTAGGGATGAAGAGGCCTGAGCAGAACAGAGCTGTGTCTGGATGAAATGGAGAAGGTCTGAGCAAACTGGAGCCAGGTCTGTGAAGGAAAGAAGGCCTGAGCAAACCAGAGCCAGGTCTATGTAAGATGGGATAGGCCTGAGCAAGCCAGAGGTAGGTTCAGGTGACACTGAGAGGGTCTGAGCAGCCCTGAGGCAGGTTTGAGGACGATTGAGAAGGTCTAGATAGGAGTGAGCCAGATCTCAATGTAGCTAAGGACAAAGCTGAGGGGCCTGAGTAGGGCCTTGAGTTGAGTTAATAGGCCCAAAATGAGTTGAGAGGCCAGAATTGAGGAGAACGGCCTAGTTGAGGACTGAGTTATAAGGTGGCCCAGTAGGAGTACAAACCAGATGTGAATAGAGTAAACCAGATATGATGACTGAGTACAGCCCAGCGTAGGCATGAGTCGAGCTGTGTCCCAGTTGGGGGCAGTAGTTGGATGTGATAGCTGAATACATTCCAGTTAGGGGCATGAGCTAGAAGGTGGCCCAGATGTGACAAACTGTATGCCATCTGTGAGGCATGGGACAGGGTATTGGAGGCGAGGAGCCATGTTTGGCTTATAAGGCCACAAAGAGTAGTCAGTACAGTTACAATCAAGGCAGCCTCCCACAGCGTATATATTTACAGGAACAAGAAGGCATGGTGGGTGAGTATGGGGTGAACTGTCCTGAGAACAGGGTGGGGACAGAATTTTTTTTGGGGTGCCCTGACACCACCCTGTCACAAATATGTAAATATAGTGATGAGAGTTTAAGAGTGGTGAGGGGGTTTTTTTGTGAGGTGACGGGTGCTGTTACAGTGGTGTTGTAGGCATGATGCCTCTGGAATTATGAAGGGTAAGGATTTTTTGGGGATGATATCTTTTATTGGACTATTAACTGTATAGTTGGGATAGTTGGACAGACTTTCAAATGCAAAACATTCTTCTTCAGTTCTGGACTCCATTCAAAAGTTTGTCTAACTTCATTGCAGTTATACAGTTTGTCCAATAAAATATACCACCCAAAAAAACCCTCGTCTGTTGCATATTTGTCTCGCTAACTCTTATTAAAATGCTTTTTAATGATGAAATCTGACTGAAACAAGAACATGTGTTTGTGACACCCAGTTTGTAAACCCATGGTTCCAGCAGATAAAATTTCAGCTGTTCAAAAAATGAAAGTTATATGAGACCTCTAACTGGAAACTTTCTGTGGTGAGATTATTCTGTGTTATTTGTGAGCACAGGGGGAATAGTGTGATGGCTTCATCAAGACTATAAGGTGGATATAAAATTGCTTGAAAAAAGTAATTGGTTTACTGTGAAACTTTAAAGTATTTGTTAGGTTGCTGAAAGGTAGGGCTTGTATTGGGCTTATTAGTATTAAGCATTTATTTTTCATTAGTGACTCATGATGAAATAAAGTGAAAACTTAATCTCTGGCTAACACCAAAGTAGGAGATATTGCAGGCATGTTGGAGGATAGTATTAGGATTGAAAATGATTGCTAAATTAGAAAAATCATCTAAAGTCAATGAAATAACATTCAAAACACAACAAGGTACTGTATTTTCTTACATACAACATGCCCTGGGATAAGATGCATACATAACTTGTTTTTGAAAGACAGAATGAAAAACAAAGGTCTTTCCTTGTGGTGAATAACTGCATAGTACAGCTGTGCCTGCTCATTTTTCTGCTCCCTATGATCTTGTGCAGATTTTATTTTTGCTGTTGGAGCAGAAACTGTTGTTGCCATATTTCTTCACATACTTTGTATGCTTCAACTTTCAGCCTCCGGGTTTTGGGGAAAGGGTGTCTATCTCATGCAAAGAAGTACAGTATGACATTTTCAGAAGAGATAATCAAATGCACAAATGCAAAATTGGATGTTACTGAGAGAGTTCTGTAACACTAGGTCAGTCATTGATTGAACATAAGCAAACAACATGGTGCTATTGCTAAAAAAAAATGTTCTTCAGGAACACATAATATTACATGGAAGATGTGCAGTGTAGTTCTTGCTTTCTACTTCATGTTGGTGAAGCCTCAGCTGGCATGCTGTGTCCTGTTTTAACATCACACTTATATGAAGATGTAAACAAATTAGTGTCTCAAGGAGAGAAACAGGAACAGGTGCTTTAGGATTTTTAGATTATAAAAGAGAGGACAGAGGAAATGTTAGAAATTATGATTATTTGTTCTCTGGGTCCCTCCAGTGAAATGTAAGTATTTTGGTTGTGTTTGTAGCAGAAAGAAGGGCACATGGACAAGTTTCCATGAAACTAAACTAAGGCAAGAAGAGCGTGTATGTAGATTTATTTTATTTGCTATAAAGGTTGCAAGTCATTTCTATTTTAATATTATCTAGATGTTACAGAAATGTGTTGCTTTAACAACAAACTTTGTTCTTACTTTCAAAATTAGCAAATATTTTAATTGGGACTGCTGCTTTCCTTGCTTTTGGACTAATTTTGGCATCATACTATGTTTACAACCAGCTAAAGAAGAAAAATATTAAACTTCCCAAGTCTCTGGTGAGTTCACATTACTGTTCAATAATAATAGTATTTCATTTATTAAAATCGAACAAACTCAGTCTTATAATCAGTATATTATTTGAAATTCCTAAGAAGCAGCATGTAGGGGAGAGAGGAATAAACAGAGCAGCATACAATAGAACTAAAATGTTAACTCAAGTATGCTTAATTTCTATATAGGCTATGTTAAGTAACTCTTCTTTCTTATAACTGTATGGATCCCTTAAACTTCCGGGTCTTGTCTATTGTCTTATCTTCCATGATCTTATATATATATACTCAAGATTTATAAGCATTGTAAGCTTTGTAAGAATTTACTCTTTCAACAGTAGGTTTTACCTTTTTAACTGAGTTGACTCCCAGTCGATTTGTTTTCAAGAATTTAGCAGTCCAAGTGTTTGTTCACAGATATGTTCCAGTGTTAGTGTGCTGGTCATACGTAGATCCTAATGGGAGACTCAGGCTGTGTACACACGTTCAAATGATCTGGGGGAGTTCCTCCAGGTCTGTTTCCTGGTAGAAGAACTTAGACTCTGTACAAATATTGAAATGCTGAGCCCTGGAGGAGCAGAGAGCTTGCAGCACTGACACTGAACAGCCAAGGGGCTCTTGTGCATATATGTCAGTGTTCTCTGCAAGTGCCATCAGTCAGTCTGAAGCTGGGTGGAGCGGAGCGTAGGGCAGCCCGGATTTGCTGACCCAAACTGTTTAGTGTCAGCCTGCCTCTTCTACAGCACAATGTGAAGGGATTGTGAAGTGGATGTGTTCTGTTCCCTGCTTGGCTGGAGCAGTAGAGTTCAGTCCAAGCAATGCACTGTCTCTTGGGGTGGTGGGGCACCAAACATCCTAAGGTGCTGGAAGACTATGCTTTAGCTTCTCCCACAAGGGAAACTGTACAGATATTTGCTTTCCCAGGAGAAAGACTTAGTCTGGAGAAAAGAATGAGGGGGATTTGATAAATCTTCAAATACCTGAAGGGCACTTCCAGAGATTATAGTGATAATCCTGTCCTCTGTGGCCACAGAATCATCTAGGAGCAATGTCCTCAAGATGCTGCCAGGAAAATTAGGTTGGAGATTAGGAGGAACTTTCAGACTATGAGGTGGTCAAGCATTGGAACAGGCTACCTAGAGAACTTGTGGAATCTCCATCCCTCTAATATTTTCTATATATGTTAGGCAGACACTTGGCTGGAATGGTGTAGTCAGGCCTGGATTAGGTGAGCCCATGAGGTCCCTTTAAAACCCTACTTTTCTAGGATCCTATGACCCACACGTGAATCTCTTCAGCCTTTAAGCTTTCAGGTGATTTGCAAGAAGCCAAGGTATCCTTGATACAAAGAAAACTGTTATTGCTTCAGATAGCTCGGATTTTATTTCAGATGTGTTTCTGGTCGCTAGGTTTCGGAACTTGTACATACTGCTCATCTACAAGACTGAAGAATCTTATGTGGAGGTAGTGAAGCAGAAATTGATAGCCCTGGTATAGACAATAGTCAAGATAGTTTTAGTACCTACATTTTCATATCCTGTCAATTTCAACATCCCATAGTCTTACCATTGCCCCCAGGCACAATTTTTCAGTCATGTTTAGGTCTTGTACCCACTCATGGTGCAACCCTCAATTCTAAATTAAGCTGTCTTTAATGAAGTTGTTGGTTAAAAGTTCAGTAAATTTTCATTCATAGACAGACTGTTTGATATGTTTAGCTATCTAAGAGGAAAAGATTCTGTATGTAATATCATTGCTCTCAGTTATTTTCTTCCAGCTCACAAGTCTGACATACATTATTCTGATAGGAATAGGCATCAGATCAATGAAATTACACACCCATCATGAATACAATCGTAAATTTAAATTTTTCCCTCACACTATTGTAGCAAGATTCTTAAAATTTCTGTTCAGGATTTATCCTCCTGTAATTAAGTCTTTCCATCCATGGGACCTTAATTTAACAATTTCTGGTATCCTGCTCCCTTTTCTGTTCTCCCCAGCTGCCCACCAAAAATAAAATTTCTTTGTTTCCTGTTCCATTTAGCAGCTGAGCAGTATAGTAGAATCTTTGTCAAGGAGCTTGGGGGGAGCTGTGTGATGTCAAGTCTCGCTCTATCTGCTGTCTTCTGTAAGGACAAGGTCTTACTGAAACCACATCCAGTTCGTTCAAAGGTTTCTGTCTCCTTAAATCAGATTATCTATCAGCTGGTATTTTTTCTTAAACTGCATGCCTACAAGGGTGAGAAGCCAAATTCTGTCAAGGGTCAAGAGACGTGCATAGTTCAGAAGTTTCTGCAAGTGCCCTTTCATTCTTTGTATGTATGCAACAGTTTATTTTGGCTTGGAGAAACTTCTAATTGGATTTCAGTGTGTGTTTGTGATCAGTCAAGCAATAATACTCGGCATCGTAAACTAGCATTCTAAAAAAGTTATCTTTAGCCTCCGTGAGGAATGTTTCTGTTGTCAACATGTATAGGATGATATGGTTTTCTCTCAGTACATTTACACAGTTTTAAGCAGTTGAGGAAATATCTAAGGATAACACAAGGACTGGCAAAGCATTTTCAGTCTCTGTTTAGAAGCCTTTACTGTGCTGGAAAATTGCCCCAAAAACATGTACATACACACTCCAAGGAAGTTACTTAGTGAAATGGTAGTATTAGGATGTGCTCTCCATATATTTCACAATCTTTCCTCAGTTGCTGCTACTTTAAAGGCCCTCAAGATACTGGTAATAAAGGAGATGAGACACCTATCCCAACTACCTCTTCTTTACATCCTCAGTTGGATGTAGGAATAACGTGGGGCTGTGTACACACGCTACAAATATTGCTAACCAGCAGTTTCAAATTCAAGTGCACTGGGTGTTTGACAGTGAAATATGTGTATGTTTGCACATGTGCACAACACAGAAAAAATATAGTTATTGTAAGGTGGTATATTAATTCTTAAACTATTAGTCTGAGTTGTAACAAGAGAAGTTTAATTGCTAGAAGGCTTGATGGAAAGGCCAAGTGGGTTCAAATTTCTTACTAGAGCTGGAAATTATGTCTGTAAAAGACATAACATATGATTGTTGCTAAATTACAAGGAACCTTTAGCACCTGGCTACAAGAAATCTCCTTGCTGGTGCCAGGAAATGTCTGCTGTGGGAATTTTTTTCCTCTTTAACTTCCTTGTTTTGTAAAAAGACGAGTAGGTGTGTCTCTGTTTCAATTCTTCCTTTGTTCAGCGCAAAGAGCAGCACAAAGGCTAAAGATACCTTCCTAACATGGAGGCTTAGGCCGTGTGTAGACAAAACTAGAGATGTGTATGCACGACACTTTAAAGCGGGCTAATGCTTTTGCACCACTTTTATGGTGTTGGTGTTTGTACGCCTCGGTGGCGTATTGCGCGTTGCTTCCAGCTGCTGTAGGAAATTCAGTGGTGTAATGCACCTTAAATGACTTGGGGCACAGCAAACTAAAACTCCTTCGAAGAGTTTTAGTTTGCTGCCCCTCCAGCTGCAGAGTGAAGTACTGGGCTCCATGCAGCACCACAGCTCTGCAGGAAGCCTGGCAGCAGCCCAGGAAGGCAAGCTCTGCCCAAGAAAAGCAGCAAGCCTTTTTTTTTTTCCCCCCCCCCCCGCCCCCCAGAGCCAGGGTGCCTGACCTGCGCAGGGGCCCTGTACTTCCCTCCACAGCTGTGGTGCCCCCTGGGACTGCCCAAACTGGGTGCCTGTGGGCAGGTGCCACCTGGAGGGGGTGGGAGGCTGCAGCTGCTGCAGAGGGAAGCACCAGCCCTCTCCCGCAGCCAAGGGAACAACCTGCCCGCCAGCGGCTCACCCTCCCCTCCCTGCTGGAGGGGCAGGTAAGTCAACGGGGTGTGTGCACGACACGGGGGTTAAATCAGTCCTAAATTGAAGCAGTGTTTTTTAAAACCCACTTGCTTCAATTTAGGGCCTCCATTTCATCTACACGCACCTTCAGATCTCAATAAGGGAAAATCTGTAAATGTATCTTTTCTTCGTTTACCTTTGAACTGGTATTGAGTAGTAAAAACTGTTATAGGTGCAAATGTTTTAGCAACAATAGAATTTTTTCTCCTTTTTGTTAATAGTTTTACACAATTTCATTTAAATTTCACTTCTTGTGGTTACATATTATATTTATAAAGTGAATTCTTTCCCCTTGCAACAAATTTTAAGGATATGTTTGAGTTGGATTTTGTGTGTTTGAAATGGCTGGGCCAAATAGGTTTAATATTAAAAGTCCAGTGTTTTGTATCCTAACCTCTCATACCTCTTTTTCTCTTCTCTCAACTTCTAACCAGTAGCTACTTGTCCATTAACTTTCAGGTTGCCTTTTGTTTATATACCTATGCCGAAAAGGGACCCTAAATCATCTTTTGCTCACTTTGTGTTGCATGAAGTTTAAAGTATCTGGAGAGATGGATGCTTGAAAGGCTGAGCTCTTGGTAGCTTAAAATTGCTACTTTTATATCTTCAGTAATTATAAATCCAAGAAAATAAATTGATCCCAAAGCACCTTGTATCTTTTTCAGCAAGTTGCACTACTTCTCCTCTCCCTGCTGCAAAGCCCTAATAACAACTTGTAATGAGGGAAGAAAACTTTTTTTGAGGTTCTTGATATGTAGTTGTGGATTTGATACTTTTTTTTTTTTTTATCTCACATAAAAGGC